GATGTTAGTAGAGAAACGGCTATATATATATATAATGCATCTAAGTAGTAATATATTATAAGCTGCATAACCACTCGCACTCAAAACATCCCAATGAAAAATTGTTTTAGTATGCTGTTTACGAAAATAAAAAGACTAGTCTCTGGTTAAACATCTGGGACTAGGAACTCAACTTATCAAGCACATCCTTGCTTTGCACCAACTTAGGACTACTCGACGGTAACGGGACGCCATTACAAACGCGTTTTTTCTTTAAATCTCGTTAACATCGACTCAGTTCCACACAAGTGGAGTGAGGGGCGGCACGCACCCCTCTGCTCTGACTCATTCGATCCAATCCACATCCCTCACAACGCGGTGGATGTTTATATGTGGCTATTGTATGCGGAATATCGCGGGCGACTGCGTTTAAGCTTTCAGCTTGGGATAGCCTACTACGTTCGTTATTACTTGAATTTACGCAAATCGCAGAAAAAGCTAATACAAGCAAACTTAAGATCAAGTGTAGACCAGTCACTACTAATAGAATAAATGCTTTTAGAGATAAAGTGGCACATCATATGTTAAATAAAGATATAGGAGTCAATAACCCTAATGACTCTTATAGATCAATGGTTGACTTTCTCATATCTTCTTATAATGATACTTTTAAATCGCGCACAATTGCTAAGAATTCAAAATTAAAATTTAGTGACTGGGCAACAGTGGGTATATACAAAAGTAGGGATTCATTGTATGAATTATATAGTATGAGGCAGTGGAATCACGATCCTAACTTCCTTAAACGGGTACAAACATTTTCAAAAATATTTAAAAAAGTCTGTATTCAGGCAAAATCTATTTATATAAGAAATAGCATAATAAATTCAAACAATAGAACTAAAGCCACATGGGACATCATTACCCGTATATCTGGAAGAACCAAGATATTCAGGGAACCTATAAAACTAGTTATAGGTAATACTCCCATAATATCAGATAACGAAATTGCGAGTAGTTTCGAAAGCTATTTTTCAGACATTGCGGTTAATGTCACACGTACATTAAAATCATCTCCCGCAGACGCAATTAATGTTTTAAGAAATAATGTTACCCCTTGCCTACACACATTTAAATTTAATCACGTAGATACTTATGATATTATAAAAAGTTTTGAATTCTATTAATCTTAAAAATACAGAGGATTTATGGGGTATGTCCATAAAATTAATGAGCACAATAATGCCATATATTGCACCACATTTGGCTTCTATTTTTAACAACTGCATAGATTCTGGAATATTTCCAGATCTTATGAAATTTAGTAAGATAATACCTGTCTACAAAAGTGGTGATAAAAATGATCCAGGCAACTATAGACCTATTTCCATATTGCCATCTCTTAGTAAAGTTTTTGAAAAGCTAATATTAAATCAACTTTTAGTTCATTTTAATGTGAACAAAATCTTTCACGATGAGCAATATGGATTCACTAAAGGCAGATCGACAACAGATGCGGGCGTCGCACTTGTCAAACATATTTATAACGCCTGGGAAAGGTCACAAGATGCAATAGGTGTCTTTTGTGACCTTTCAAAAGCCTTCGACTGCGTAGACCATAAAACTATTCTTCAAAAGCTAGAATATTATGGCATTCGTGGGATCGCCCTCAATCTCATTGCCTCTTACCTTAGTAATAGAATTCAAAAAGTATCTATAAATGATGTTAATTCCACTGGGTCCCAGATGAAAATGGGAGTCCCACAAGGATCAATCTTGGGCCCATTATTATTTTTAGTATATATTAATGATCTCCCCTTTTATGCCAGTGGGTTGTGTGATGTTGTACTGTTTGCTGACGATACATCGCTTATTTTTAAAGTTGACCGAAACGTATTAAATTATGACGACGTGAATAGTGCGCTTTCACATATCCTCCACTGGTTTACTATTAATAATATGGTATTAAATGCCAAAAAAACCAGATGTATTCTTTTTACCCTTCCCAGTATAAGAAGGAAAAGTTTTTTTAGTTTAATATTAAATAACGTACCCATTAATCCAGTTGAGTCTGCTGTATTTCTGGGAATTACAGTAGATTCAAAGCTCCAGTGGAGTCCCCATATATCATCTCTTGCGAATAGGCTGAGCTCCGCGGTTTTTGCGATTAGAAGGGTTAGGCAGCTAACAGACATCGACACTGCCAGACTTGTTTACTTTAGTTATTTTCACAGCATCTTGTCGTACGGCATTTTGTTGTGGGTAGTGCATCAGATATAAATACTATATTTATTCTTCAAAAAAGAGCTGTCCGAGCAATCTACAATATCGGAGCCCGGAATTCACTCAGAGATCTTTTCAAAGAGGTTAATATACTCACTGTTGCTTCTCAATACATTTATTGTAATGTTTTGTATATACGTCATAACCTTAATTATTACCTAAAGAATAGTGACAGACATAAAATAAACACTAGAAATAAGGACAAACTTACTACGCCATTGTTTCGTCTACAAAAAGTAAATAAGTCGTTCATGGGGCAAAGTGTACGCATGTATAATAAAATCCCACAGTCGATATTAAGTCTGCCGCTTGACCAATTTAAATGTAAAATTAAAAATCAACTGATGATTAAAGCATATTATACCATTTCGGAATATCTCGACGACGCCAATGTGTGGAGTTAATACTGTTGTTACTCACGTAGGCTAGAATAAGACTATTATACCTGTATATTATATTGTACCCTGATATTTTTGAAAAAGAGCAACTGTTGAGTTTCTTGCCGGTCTCTTCTCAACAGAAACCGCTTTCCGAACCGGTGGTACCTTACGAACCTATACACATAATCTTTGATGTAAAATTTGACGATTCATAAGAGCGCGCAAGCGTCTATTTGAATAAATATATTTTGATTTTGATTTTGATTAACCTGATGGTGATGGTCCCAAGTGCTGTTTAGAAAAACTTGTAGCCGCGTTGTCTCCAAAATTTATTTATATTGTTTTTAGTTTGCAAACGTGCTTTATCTGTGTTACTGGCAGGTAGTATGATAATGAATCTATTGTACCATTACCTTCTCTCGGTCGAAGAATGATGATGAGAGTCATGGGTTGAAGGTTCCGTTGGTATCGTTGTTAGGACAATAGGTCTTTGCCATAACAGGTCATAGGTTCTCTGTTCAAATTACTATTACCACGTGTAACATCAACAGGAATAAAACAACTGTCTTGATCTTACCAATACTGGTCTCATCAATTCTTACTGATCTTATTAGTTTCGACTAGATTAAGTTCATTAGAACATATTGTGTGATGCCTTTTGTAAATGTAAAAAACTACCTAATACCAGCGACTTCCTCCATTGCAACAAACACACACATTACTGAACAATTAATGGTTATAAAACTTTAACTTTAAATGACGATATGACAATAATTTATTCAGATAAGGGCCAAGGGTGTCTAATTACTAAGTATTAATTGAAATCTATCCAGTATCTTTTCTGTGATTAACACAACGGCACACCTCAATTTATTTACATACATACATGGATCATCACTAAAACACCGCACGTCCACTCACCGATTGGCTCGCCGATCACGTTCATGATCCTGCCCAGGGTCGGGGTGCCCACCGGTATTGTGATCGGCGCCCCGGTGTCCGTCACCGGCTGGCCCCGCACCAGGCCCTCGGTGCCGTCCATCGCAATGGTGCGGCAGACGCGCTCCCCCAAATGCTGGGCCACCTCGAGGATGAGCCGCGGCTCTGCGAATTTTGTGCTCATTTTCGCGGGGAATACCTATATCGCCTACCACTGGATCGGCGGAGTGGTAGTCCCAATGGGTACTAAAAGCCTAGTTGAACCTTTATCTGTAGCCGGGGACACGGGAACACGTGGACGCAATCTTCCGCGATCCTTTAAGACCTCCTCTTCTACATAGCGTGGGTTTTACAGTGGTAGGGCCACGCAGCAGCCTCGGCTGTTGCACGAATGGGCAGGCTCGTCCGGGTAAGTACCA